GGGGGAGGTGGGGGTGGGGGTCCTCCGCCTCCTCCGGCCGCCATCTTGCAGGTGTTGCAGTTCATGCCCATACAGGGGCCGTACTCCGGGTGGGGGCCTGTCGGCGGCGCCATGTGATGCGGGGGAGGGGGGCCCCCTGCTGCGGCGGCGTTCATGTGAACCCCCGAGCCCATAACGCTCATATCTGGCATGTGGGGCCCGGGCCCCATGGGAGCGGCACACGCGGGGGTCGGGCTGGGCTGCATGTGGGGGAGCCCCTGGTGGGGTCCTGGTGCCAGACCTCCTTTCATGGGGCTGGGCGCTGGGTGCATGCCCCCTACCTGTACCTGGAGGTCTTCGCCTGCCGACCCCCAGCCCCTGTGGTGGACGGACTGACCGGGGTGGGGTGGACCTATCATGGTGGGGCCCGAGTGTGCCTGCTGTGGGCCGTACATCCCCTCCGGGTGACCACCCTGACCGTACGAGCTGTCGTAGGCTGGGGGGCACATTTGGGGGCCGTAAGCTCCGCCCATATGAGGGCCCGACATCATTCGAGAGCCCGGCCCGCTGCGATTGGCTAGCGGCGTTGACATGGCCAGGGGCATCTGGAATCCGGCTGCGCTGGTGTTACCGCTGATCTGCATGTTGGTCTGTGGGCAACCTGGGCTGAAATCTGGCCCCATGCTGGGCATGCCGTGGGAACAGCTAGAGAACTGCTGTTGTTGTTGCTGCTGCTGCTGTATCGACATACCGTGCGGTTGCTGCATATGTGCTTGTGGTGGCTGCTGCATGGAGCCCACCGGCTCGCCCGACGACGAGCCCTGTGGAGGAGGAGGCTGAGGCTGCTGCTGTTGCTGCTGTGGTTGTTGTGAATGCGATGGTGTTTGTTGTTGTTGTTGTTGCTGCTGCTGCGGGATGGTAGAGAACTGATCGATGGTGTACCCTGACTGGCTGGGCGGGCCGCTAAACTCCCCGGAGGGCATAAGCGGGGGCGGCGGTGGTGGGGGTGGGGGAGGCCCGTACTCGTGCATAGAGTCCATTCTCATCATGTTCTGGTTGCCGTCCATGTAGAAAGAAGACCCACCAGTCCCGCCATTCATGTGTGTCTGTTTGCCCATGAAATCGTTCATGGGGTCCCCTGGGCTGGGGGCCTCACCCTGCGGGGGTCCCATAGCACAGCTGGAGCGGTTGTTGAAGTCATAGCCGGGCGGGCCCATCACCTGGGCCTGGCTGTTGGGCACAGTGTAGGGCGCCACGCCAGATTTCATGTTATGGTTGTAGCGCGGTAGGATCTTGCCAGACTGCATTGACTTCTGCTGACCATTGCCGTCCATCTCAAAGGCACAGTCCGAGGGCTGGCTTGACGCTGCACCTGTGAACGACGGCTTCATCTCCATGGACTGAGAATAGGCGGGCGGAGAACCTTCCGGCATGTCCGCAAAATGGACAGACTTCTGACCGGCCGGACGATTGTTCACTAACCCTGGACACAGAAAACACAGTAAATAAAACACATTTTAAAATAATCAATGAAACTGAAATGTATTGTAAAACCATTAATAAAAATACTTAAGAATTTAAAATAATACCAATTTTAAAACATTAAGCGACAACAAAGTAGAGTACCTTAACTCAACACAATCATTTACAAAAAAATACTCTACAAAATCTTACACTTTCACAATATGAAATTAAAATTAAAATTTCTATAAGTCAAGAACAAACAAACATTTTAAAAAACAATAAAAAGCAACTTGTTCCCATATCCTTATCTAGGTCCCCCCAAAAACGGAATCCACACTATTTCTGGAGAAAAATCTGGTAAATGTCCATTTCTGTTGAAGAAAATGATCAAGACGATCTGATAGCTATTTCTGACTTGGCACAACATGATATTATCATAAGAAAGCAGAAAAAATAGTAAATTGTAAGCTTCAAGATGTTGATGCCATCTATATCAAAATTCCCATTCTTCCATATGAATCCATTATAAATAATACTGAACACCTCTGTGAGGCATAGCAAGGATCTGCTAGAAGCAATAAAACCCTTCAACCTGCTTCAAAAAACAAAACAAAAATTAAAAACTCCTTTGTCCGCAATTCTGTCAGTGTAATGAGAACAATATCTAAGTCTAATAGTTACAGAATAATCTTTTTGTATGCTCAATGTGTGTGTGTGTTTGACTGCTGTGTACAGAAGAGACAGAAAGGAGACTGGGTGAATGTGTAATTTGTGTGCAAGAGGTGTGTGTGGGTGAGGGTGAGAGAGAGAGA